CACTATCGCTAATTGCGATTGCTTTATATTTGTAGATAATGCATTAATTGAAACGTTCACAGTTTTTATAACATTCAGGGTCAGGGTAAATTTGTTGGCATGGATCCAGTCTGGGCAAGCGCCCACTTCCTCTCCAAGCTCAGCAACACCTCGAACAAAGCAGCTTGAGCCTCAGGTGTGTGGTGACGATTGAAATCGGCATAGTCTGGCATCATACAATGAACGTCAGATGCCGCAGTAACATTTGAACGCCATGTACCTATATAAACAAAAGACCGTCTTGCACATATTCAAAATATTGCTGTATAACTTTAGTTTCCGTAATTATATTGTTTTTTGAGAAAGCCTGATTACGATACACACGTCTTTGTGTTTAAAGACATTAATCCATTATTAGATAAAAATCCGAAATTATTGCTTTTACTTAAATTGATAAAGCATTGTAAAATGATAAAGGTACATGTGTTGTTTTTTGTATAGAGTGTCCTTATGAATTAAATTTTGTTTTTGGCGGTTTGAAGTCATTTTCAGTGAGAAATGGGGAAGTGACAGTCTAATTTATTTTTTAAACGTTGGTATTAAAATATCTTATTACCAATGTAAGAAAAAGGTAAAAACTGCCTATTTTAGATATTTTCACGTAGAATGCAGTGGCGCACTCAAAAAATATTTGGGTCAATGCGGGTCAATGTGTCCCAGATTTGAATCAAAATTGATATTTTTTAAAAGCATGCAACATCTTGTATATTTTAAGGTTGATTTTTTGCATTCTTTTCCCTGATGACATGATGATTTGCCTATATTTTTTTGTATAATTATACCTCAACCTCTATACTGTGTCTAAGCGTATATTTCTTTTATTACTGGAAATAGAGATAGGAGAAAAGTATAAGAAGCAAAAATACTCTACTTTAAATTTCTGATAACGCTACATTAAAAAAAAAACAGGTGGTGTAAAAACAAAAAAATAGCATCAGAAAGTAAATGAATTTTTTTTCAAATAGAACGGTGATTTTTGTGTGTAATATTCTTAAAGAGCTTGAAATGAAATTCTCTTTACAATGACATCAAACACGTTATAATTACTTTAGAAATTAAAGCTACACGTTTATAGAACCAATCGCAATAGCAATGGAACTTTAAACAAAAACATAAATGTAGGAAGCGAAGAAAACAAATGAAAAGCAGTTACAGAAATAATTATTATAACTTAAGATAAATTTAAATACATTGCACTTGCTTCCTATGTATTATCATTACATCGAAATCTTAACATTTTTTTATCATTCGTGTAATTATTATTGTTGCATTGTGGTTCTTATAAGTTATAAGATTTACGGTTCACTAACTAATTTTGTGATAGACATGACAAGTGAAAAACTCTCTTTTGCTCTTGTTTACTGTTACACAGTTGCTGTGATTGCCTTTAAAAACATTACTGTTGCCTTAATTTCTAAGGTAATTATAACCTATTTGCTATCATTGTAAAGAGAATTTTAAGCTCTTTAAGAATATTGCAGAAAAAGTAACCGTTCTATTTATAATTTTCTGATGCTCTTTTGTTTTTATTTCACTTGTTTTTTTGAATATGTAGCTTTATCGGAATTTTAAAGTAGAGTATAATTTGTTTTTTACACTTTTTTCCTATTTCCTATCTCCAATAATAACAGAAATATATGCTTGGACATGCAAAATCAATCACACTGTATATAAAAATGAATCCCTATTTCCTTGGTCACGCTATAACTTCAGGACAACTTTACCGATTTCATTCATCTTTTTTTAAGTTCTGTAATACTTCGTAGAAGCTTCTTACGGAACACCCTGTATATCTTAACGTACATTTTTGCATTCTTTCTCCTGATTACATTGATGTATTACAACCTTTAAACTTTAGCCATGAACCAAAAATGAAAACTTTTTTTACGGTTTTGAAATAGTAGGTCATTGATTCATGGAGATTTTGTTTTGTTTATTGTAGCCATGGTAGACAACCAATCAATAAAAATAGACGGTAGAAACATTTTTTTAATTTTATTTCATATTTACAATCTGTTCCAGATGAACAATAAGTAAATGTAGTAAATAGTGCACTAAACTACAACATGCAGAGAGCTAATAAAATCAGACGCCGCTCTGTCCCGACGTGCAAAACGGCATAACTAATTTATACGTAAAAATTTTGTTTTTCTAATAAATGGCGTACACGCCCCTGATCACCTGATGCCCTCGATATGATATAATAGATTTATTTTATATAAGTACCAAAATATAGGTTGTGATGGTTCAATGTAGGTAATCGGGAAAAAAATACAAAAAATTGACGTTGCTTTTAAAAAAAATCTTTGTACAGATCCGGAATAGGAATTTTCTTAATTGCGCCCGACCATAAAATACTATACATAATTGAATTCAAAATAAAATGGGCTTTAAGAATATGATATCGAAATATCAGGGTCGTATTTAAAAAGTGAAGTTGATGACGAATCCGCAAAGATGAAACGTCCGATTAACAAAATAACAACATTAAAAGTTGTTGTGTTGTGGAGAAATGTCATTGGTTTAGCTGTCAAATATTAACACCAGGAAAACATAATGTAAAATACGATTTCTTCAAAAGATTTCAAAAACCAACAAATTTTTCAAATGCTGTTCGACAATTTTGATCTTTAACTCATCAATTATATACAAAACACATTTATTGTAATTCTTTCCATTTTCGTTGTCCAATTTTTTTTTCGAAATTTCAAAAACTAATTTCAGATTCGTGATTTTCATGTTCAAAAACCCCCAGATACCAAATTGGTAGGAATTTTCGAAAAATTTTGGGAAAATCGGAATGGGCATGCTCCAAAACTCTTATGGTTGCTGATAAAAAAATTAAAGAAGAAATGCAAATTTCACCACTTCTTCGAAACATGTTGGACCCTCGGTTTATTTGGAAAAAGTGCTTGTTTTGATCGCCTCTACTACCCAATTTTTTTTACATACTTAGGTGTATGGAAGGAATGGTATTCACCTTAGAAACTTATCAATGAAACCATAAACAGCATTAAACCAGGTCAATTCTTGAAAAATTGTTCGTGATTTCTGACCACCCTTTGGGAAAATAGTCACTTCACATACACTTAACAAGAGGTTTTCGGAGCAAGTATAAATGTTTATAAGGGTAAATTTTTATTTGGAAATTACGATAACAATTTTATACTAGTTGGTACACGGGTAAGATCAAGACTATACCTAAAACAACACCGTTCTGGTGTAATTTAAAGAGATTTATAAATTTAAAGATTTTCACTGAAGTGAAATGTTTGTAAGTTTCCCATGTATTCGTAAAAATTCGCATTTTTCTTCGAGATTCATTTTTTAAAGGAATAGTAAATATTACAAACTACCTACATGATGATACCCATTTTCCAATTTATGTAAGTGTTTAAAAAAATGTGTTTTCATATACAGACGGACAAAGGGGCAGTTTTTATTTTTGGGAATGCACCAAAAAAAGTGCAACATTAGCGCAATGTGACATTCAGCGAAGTGGGAAGGCTTTTGAGAAATTCACATTTTTATGTGACTCTTAATTTCGAAAAATTGAATCAAAATTCTGAAAAGAAACCCAGATGTTCGAAATGGTTTAATGAATCAATGTTGTGAAATTTGGACCGCCACCGTGACGAATACCTGCAAACTTTTAGGAAATCTGAACCGAGTTCCGGTTTCAAAGGTCAGTCATCTAAGTGACTAACATGTTCAATGATTTATTATTCGCACGAAAAAAAGGTTTAATTTACATAATTGCCGTAATTCACTGATCCAAAAGGAAAATTCTTAGGATATTCTCGATATCGTGTGAACGGATAATCTTTTTACAACTGTGTTTAACAAAGGTGAATATTCGCAAATGGGACGGCTTTCTTTGTATTATTTCGTAGGAGTCGCTGGCTTGCCACCTTCATTGTACTTACCCGTCAATCAATTGTGCATTACAATGCAATCATAAATTTTAATTAAATGTCGATCAAGTGTGAAAGTGGATGGAATTTAATCAACCTGTGTGCGTATATTAATACCCACCTACCTACTAATTTCATTTTCTTGGTAGTTTAGATACTACCTACTTAGTCATTTAGAATTTTGAGTCATTTTTCAAATGTTTCACATTTTGTCAAGAAATACGTACGTAGTTCAATATAGCTTAATTTATTGTATAATTCCATACATAAAAAAGGCACTATTGGTTTCTAATAACATTATAGGTAGAGTACGAATGTATGAAAATTGAACACATGGCAAGAACCACATTGTCGTTACGATCGAAAGAATGGAATTAAAATTATTTCAACGCCCAAGGATAATAATTACGAAACTTAAACTAAACTAATTCTAAGAATCACATATGTATGCATTACATAAAAAAGAAATTATACCATAATAAATACACAATGTATAAATATACATCATATTATAAATTCAGACCTATCACAGAGATTTCGTTTCGAGCTGTTAATTATTTAACGATTATCGTAATTACATTTAAATTATGCATTATACGTTAAAACTGAATGCAAGTAAAGTCAAGGTTCTTAGGGGGAATGTTTGTCAATTACATAATATTAACAGCAACGAAGGATCTCCGACTTATTAACTAAAATCAACCAGAGGTGATTACAAATTCGTCGTTAAAATTAAAAAAAATAGAAAATTCAATGGGTGGCAGTATTAACCATACCTACATCCAAAATGCATTTAGGTACAACATTGTATACAAAATAGAATTGGAATGACGGTTATAAAAATTGAGCGTGATAATATCTAGAGTAAGGGAATAATTTATCACAGCCTGACTCTTTCCAGAGGTGGCCGCGCGTCTTTTCTAATTACGACAACAGTCTTTTTTCTGCAATCACAGAATAATTTACAATAAATGGTCCCTACAATACTGACAAAGTATCGGAATGGCATTTAAAAGCACTAACTAGCACGCACGCACAGGTGGTGAATTTGGAATTGGGGCGTCTCATTGTGCGCTTCGGAATCAATTTACTTAAAAGGCACGAAGGGTTGTTTCGTTACTATCGGTTACGTCTAAACCTGCTCCTTGCCCTCGAGCTTCTTGGCCAGCTCCGAAATTACCTCCTTGTAGATGAGTGGATCGATGTTTTTGCCCAGCTGGTAAAGTATAAACCAATCGCCGATCAGGCACTCGTTCGAGATGGTCTCGATGTTTGTGTTCGAGGCGAGACGAGAACGAGCGCGTAACAAATACAATCTTAGTTGGGGGCCGGCGACGACGGCGGCCCTGTACAAAAGCGAAATTCCGGAGAGTACACTTAAACCGATAAACCAAAACCATAAGAACACGTAAATTTTTTCATTCACGATGTTAAGCGGAAGCACGCACAAACCGTCGAATTTCTGCACGGACCCCGATGGACCGTATTTGTGGAATGTGCACTTTGTAACTTTAGGGAACACACGTGCCATGGGATCGTCTCGATGCTCCGGTTCCAGTTCAGTTAAACGTATAACATCACTTCCGTAGGTACTGAATTCACCGTCAAGGAAGAAGTCCATGAAGAAAATTTGTCCGACCACGTTTATAAAATTAAGAATTTCGCATATAAAGAAGCGATAAGCGTAAAAATTTTGCATATGCAAGTTGGTTGCGAAATAATCAACTAGTAACTTTTTACGGTCAGCTTTACAATCCTCGTTGACAATAGGACAATTGAGGTCAAGTACGAGCATCTTAATCCGACCACCTTCCCATGTTTTCCACAGATAACGTGGAATATAAAATAACATCGCTTGAAAGAAGAGCGTGAAACACACCCATTGGTAATACTTATGGTACTTTACTTCGTCCTTTCCATCCACGTGGCTTGCCACTCCGGGTTGTACAAGATCTTGACCAACGCGACCTGTTAGCCTATTCGGGATCGTGAAAGTTGAGTAAATCCAGCAGTATGTGTCCATAACATTTAAAGGAATTTCATCTACGATACAATCGATAGGATCTCCTATATATTGTCGACTCGTCACTAACAATGAAAAGGCTATAAGCAGGATAACGGTAGCTTTGTAATGCAATCGGAATACGTTATTGTCGATGCAGACTGTATCGATTTTTAACAGCCCCTTAACGGAGCCGAACACATCAAACATTTTCTCACTTTCAAGCACACAACTTATTCACAGAACGTGTAATTACGAATTTAATTATGGTTTAGGGTCGATTATTGTTAATTTACTTTACTATGCATTTAACTGTGAACTGCAAGCAACTAGAGAAATTTCGAACCCGCTCAAAGAAACAGTGGGGGGGAATGGACGTGGAAGGGAGCTTTTAGTTGGCCCCTCCCGTGTAGCCTCTATACCGGTTTCAGTGGAAAGCAGTTTAGAGATATGAACATATTCGTACGCTTTCGTTTGGCTTCGTACAAAGAATGCAACCTGCAAGAGATGACCGATGATGAATGCGGGTGCGTCGACCATTATCAGCTTTTGTGACAATATTTCACAAAATCTTGAAATTTTCAGTTTAAAGTATTTGACGTGAAGGCTACTTATAATCACAAGCTTATGTGGGAAAATTAATTTTCGTGTGTAAATTAGGTCGGTAGAAACTAGAAACCAAATCAGTGGTGTCGCGCCTCGCGCTAATTAGGACTTTACTTGCAAATATATTCAAAGACGCATCCGGAGGAACAGATTGGTAGCGTTATTCTTTAATTCAAAAAATAGCTTCAACAATTTTTAATCTTTTTATTAGCATATAAAATTGATCAAATTTATTTTTTGAAAGTATACCTAGGTATGATAAAGAAGAGGTAAGGGGCTCAGGAAAATCGAACATGCAATTTGAATAAAAATCTAAACTGAGTCATTTACTGAAGAATTCAGATGAATTACCTATAACTATATTGCCATAGGAAATGGTAATTGGCATAAGCCCTTATAGTGCAGCGGAGAGCCGGCGCTAACTCGCTTATTTGAGGTAGTTTTTTTTTTCGGAGTAGAAAGAATTGGGACCCACACCATTTTGTTCAGAAATGTTTGAACCTTCAGAATCTCGCTTTACGACATTTTCCCGTGGTCCTGACAAAAGTTATAGGCCGCTAAAGTTGAAATTTACTCATTTTCGCGCGCGCGACTAGACCACCGAAAGTATTTATTTTCTCAGCAACTAAGCGATATACATCAATAATTCCTTTTGTAAAATGAAAGTACATTTATAGCAGAATCTAAAGCATTCAATTTACCTACCTTGTTATGCACAGTTTTTAGAAAAATGACCGTCAACTTCCAAAATTCGTGTAGCAGATGAAAAGTGCGCACTTTGAACTCTCATAACTTTTTATTTCACGATATCGATTTCCAATATTTATAGCTCATTCGATGCTCCAAAGCATTGTGATTATTTTATTTTCTATAACATTACCGTGAATTTTTCATAATAAAAAAGTTACGGTCATTTAAGTAAAAACCTACCGACCTCGCCGAGTCGGTAATCGCGAGTGAGACGGAGAGGGAAGGATAGTCAGCAGCGTTCGCTAAACAAGGAGCGATGCGTAATTTACTAAGAAATTTCTCTCCGAATACCAAAACTAGCTATTTAGGCCGTTTAGTTTACAAATGCATTCCGCGAGTTGCATTGTAAAATCTCAAACAATTCATTAACTCCATGTATCTCAGTTCTTTGGTGAAATATATAGGTACAAATAGGTACCTTTCCCTGTAAATTTTGGGGGTTACTCCACATCAGGTATCTCTTGTGCTGTGCTGTATATTGCAAGATCAGCAGTAACAACGGTATGATTTTGTCCCAAAGATTCAGGCTTGTTTTTTGATTTCACTAGACGATGGTTAGGATGGTATTGTAGCTCGCTGGTGGAGAATTCAAAAACGGCATAGGTATATTATATTGAATGGTAGATACCGGAACTTACTTAGGAGGATTATCAGCAGGTACTTAGGCTGTTAAAGTCAGTTATCTGGTCGTTATCTAGTGATAGGTAAACCTGGTGGTCAATCATTTCTAGACATGCCGTCTGCATGATCTCGAATTTAAACTTAACTTAAATAATTTAAATATGTAGTCATCTCAATAGTTTCAAAACTTTTATAAGTTTATTTTTCCCCCCGGTTCTTTTGAAATGTGTTAAATTCAACTTTCAACTTTTAATGTAATAATTCAACCCTCCGGTTGGTTGTCTTAACAAGGCTTGATAATAATTCGTTTTGAAACTTAGGACAACCTTTCCGGTTTAACCACCCTTCAGGTTTTTTCACTTGGCTTCGGCCAGTTAATAATTAAAAAACAACATGTTCGTCTTATTCGTCTTCAACGTTTGTAACTTACCGTTTTCCTGTTAAATTTCACATCGCCTGATGATGGCAGTACGCCGAAGCTATAGTCGCTTTTATTTTTAAAAACTTCAACGAATAAAAACTATATGAGGAAGGTTTAGAGAGTTTTGATCACACAATATATTTCAACCCCCATTTCGAGGAGCGATGGATCCAAACACCAAAAAAAAAAATCCATGTATTCGTTTAGGAGCCACCCTCAAAAAAGTGGTAAAGTTTCTTTTTTTCTCAGCAACAGTTACAGAGACTGGTGGTGAGTCTTTGAATAGGTTTTGCTGTATGCCCTTTCCGGTTTTGCAAATAATTTTTCAAAATTCCTACCGCAAAAGGACACACCCCTCAATAGGGGTGCGAAAAAATGTTGATTTCGACGAAATTTGGTATCTGGTGGTTTTTGAATCTGAAATTAGTTTTTGAAAATTCGAAAAAAATAATTCCACTGCAATTCTTGGCCGGACAACGAAAATTGACAAAATTCCACGAAGTTTGTTGTCTAGGTACATACTTACGGAACAAAATTATTGAACAGTTTTTTTAAGGTCATTTTTCAAACAAAAGTTACACTCATTTGCAAATTGGTCTTTCGGGTCAGAAAATGTTCTCCGACAGTGGCATAACAAGTACAGTAAACGTCAATATTACATGTTCTGCTAAGGGTGTCTACCTACATTTCACAAAAATTTGTCAAATAAAAAATGATAATTTTATCACAGCGAGCAACTTCGACATCAATGAGGAAACAGTCACAGAATAAGAATAAGTAGGCCATATTCTGTGGAAACAGACGAAAAAAATTCAACGCACAGTCTTTTTTCAAAAGCGAGATACATCGACAGAAGAAATCCAAATTCCTCGTTTACCTATCACTAGATAACGACCAGATAACTGACTTTAACAGCCTAAGTACCTGCTGATAATCCTCCTAAGTAAGTTCTGGTATCTACCATTCAATATAATATACCTATGCCGTTTTTGAATTCTCCACCAGCGAGCTACAATACCATCCTAACCATCGAACTTGCCTTACATGGAAAAAATTTAAAAAGAAATTGTACGATTATCTAGTCAATGGGTGTTTCTACAACATACAAGAATTTTTTATATCTTCCAATATTTAATTGTTTGTTTAACTGTTCGTTTGTTTAATTAATGTTATATTGACTTGTTCCATACAAATGTTATTTGTCGAAGGAATTAAATAAAAATGAATGAATGAATGAATGAATCGTCTAGTGAAATCAAAAAACAAGCCTGAATCTTTGGGACAAAATCATACCGTTGTTACTGCTGATCTTGCAATATACAGCACAGCACAAGAGATACCTGATGTGGAGTAACCCCCAAAATTTACAGGGAAAGGTACCTATTTGTACCTATATATTTCACCAAAGAACTGAGATACATGGAGTTAATGAATTGTTTGAGATTTTACAATGCAACTCGGCGGAATGCATTTGTAAACTAAACGGCCTAAATAGCTAGTTTTGGTATTCGGAGAGAAATTTCTTAAAAGTAAAATCTCTTACGCATCGCTCCTTGTTTAGCGAACGCTGCTGACTATCCTTCCCTCTCCGTCTCACTCGCGATTACCGACTCGGCGAGGTCGGTAGGTTTTTACTTAAATGACCGTAACTTTTTTATTATGAAAAATTCACGGTAATGTTATAGAAAATAAAATAATCACAATGCTTTGGAGCATCGAATGAGCTATAAATATTGGAAATCGATATCGTGAAATAAAAAGTTATGAGAGTTCAAAGTGCGCACTTTTCATCTGCTACACGAATTTTGGAAGTTGACGGTCATTTTTCTAAAAACTGTCCATAACAAGGTAGGTAAATTGAATGCTTTAGATTCTGCTATAAATGTACTTTCATTTTACAAAAGGAATTATTGATGTATATCGCTTAGTTGCTGAGAAAATAAATACTTTCGGTGGTCTAGTCGCGCGCGCGAAAATGAGTAAAGTTCAACTTTAGCGGCCTATAACTTTTGTCAGGACCACGGGAAAATGTCGTAAAGCGAGATTCTGAAGGTTCAAACATTTCTGAACAAAATGGTGTGGGTCCCAATTCTTTCTACTCCGAAAAAATTTTTTGAACGATTTCGCGGCTCTCTCCGCTGCACTATTACGTATTGCTGAAGTTAGCTTGGGATTCGGATTTCGAATTCACAGTTGACTTGCTAAGTTATACCAAATTACGAAGTTACCAAAAAAAGGATGTAAAACGCATATAAGCTGAAAGCAACATAAATGAACAGCTACTCATAACAACAAAAGTAATCTAACTAACCCTTATACGTAATTCCGTCTTATTCGTTATCGTTAACGTTTATAATTACTTTAGAAAAAGTGGATTAAATTAGCACCCCTAAATCGGGACCCCTATTTATTAAATCGCCAAAATATTGTCCTCATTTTGTGGTAATTTGTGCGCTAATCCCCAAATGTTGTGCGTTTTCCGTTTACGAGAAAATCAAATTTTCTATTAGAAGTCCAACTTAAACTGGAACACTCACATTTTCACATTTCAAGAATATTGACCTACTTTTGTTAAACAGTCGTGTTTTAGATTAAACGAAATAAATTCTATTTGCACACAAATTAATTTTCAGAACGTAATACCATCGTTCAATAATAATAATTATTTATTCAAAATAATAATTTGGGATTATTTTATTATAGTATAGTATAAGTATACATTCATAACTATTGTGGTATTATAGCTGAGTAAATAATTTTGTATTGCTATCTGTCTGTCCGCCGGTCAGTCCGTTTGTATGTCCGTCTGTCTGTTCGTCTGTCTGTCTGGCCGTTTGTCTGTCCGCCCGTCTGTCTGTCCGTCTGCCTGTACGTCCGTTTGTCCGTCCATCGGGCCGTCTGTCTGTATGGACGATAACTTTGTGTAGAAAGGTCCGGTCGCTTTGAAAATTGA